TGCAAAAAAAAAAAGCCCCCCCAAAAAAGCCCCAAACTCACCTTCCTGGCGAGTTTGAGGTCTTCAATCAGGTCCTGCTCTCCCCTGGACATCTCATATATGGCCTGGGAGAAGGGGACCAAAGCACTCAGGGTCATTTTTAAGGCCCCTGTTATCTGGGACAGGATTTCTGGGTGCAAAAAAAAAGCCCCCCCAAAAAAAGCCCCAAACTCACCTTCCTGGCGAGTTTGAGGTCTTCGATCAGGTCCTGCTCTCCCCTGGACATCTCATATATGGCCTGGGAGGAAGGGGACAAAGCACTCAGGGTCATTTTTAAGGCCAGGATTTCTGGGAAAGAGCCTTTTCAGCTCCCAGGATGTCCATCCTGTCCTCAGCTGGGAATTCCAAAGCTTTCCCAGCCCTGCCCCTCCTGAGCCAAAGGGAATATTTTCAGGGCCTTTGAAATCCCTGCTCTGGCACATCCCAGGGGGCTGCTCCAGGTGGTGTCTCCAGAGGATTTGTCCAAGGAAAAAGGCAAGCCAAGGTTTAGGATCAGGATTTTCCTGCCTAAAAGTGGGAGAACATCTGGCAGAGGGATTCCCCAACCAGCTGGGCAGGACAGGGTTGTTGCCATCACCCTTTGTTGCCAAGTGCCAGGAGTTTTAGGAGAAAGTTCCTCAGTTTTACCAGGAATCTGACCATGGAATTGCTGCAGGGATTCCAGAATGTTGGGAAGAGTTTGGCATCTCCCAAGATGAATTCCACAGTGGCTTGGGAGACAGGAATCCACCTTTTCCCACTCCTAATCCAGGTGGAAATTTGGGGGTTGGGGGTGGAAGTGCACGGGAAGATCCGGCCTCCTGTGGATGGTTGGGACTCTTTTCCCTTGGGAAGGACAAAGGAAGGAATGCCCTTTCCCAATCCCATCCTACCTCCTGGTCCCTGATTTCCTTGGAGCTCAGGGACTCTTTTCCCTCAGGAAGGACAAAGGCAGGAATTTCCTTTCCCAATCCCACCCTACCTCCTGGCACTTGATTTCCTTGGAGCTCAGGGACTCTCTTCCCTTGGGAAGGACAAAGGCAGAAATTCCCTTTCCCAATCCCACCCTACCTCCTGGCACTGGATTTCCTTGTTGCTCAGGGACTCTTTTCCCTCGGGAAGGACAAAGGTAGGAATTCCCTTTCCCAATCCCACCCTACCCTCCTGGCACTTGGTTTCCTTGGAGCTCAGGGACTCTTTGGTGTTGGGAAGGACAAAGGCAGGAATTCCCTTTCCCAATCCCATCCTACCTCCTGGTATTGATTTCCTTGTTGCTCAGGGACTCTTTTCCCTTGGGAAGGACAAAGGCAGGAATTCCCTTTCCCAATCCCACCCTACCTCCTGGCATTTGATTTCCTTGGAGTCCAGGGACTCTTTTCCCTTGGGAAGGACAAAGGCAGGA